TTGCGTGCTAATTTTTGGGACGAGCTGCATTATACTTGCAGCTCGCTTTCAGCATTAGCGCTTGACCCCGGCTCGCCACGGAAACAGCATCGCCCTTGTAGGCACTCCCGAGATGGGTGGATGACAATGATAGTGAATCTTTCTCCTTTCATATGGCAAACAAAAACCAAACTTCTCAATCAGCTTCAACCAAAAAAAAAAGAAAATGTGATGACTCTGCGCCCTGTCAGAAAGATGATAGTTGGCCCCGATTTATTGTAATAAAAGGAACAGATGAAAAACCAGTTTCAAAAATATCTCCTTTTGTAATTCATAAAATTCGAAGCATTACTGGTACAGTTTAAAAAAGTTTCAAAAATGAGATCAAGGATTTGTTGGTTGAATGTTCTAATGAAAGTCAATCAACAAATTTGCTGACTATGACAAAAATTACAGACTTTCCTGTTTCTGTCTCTCTTCACAAAAGTTTGAACAGTTGCAAAGGAATCATTCGAGACTGAAGTCAATATCTGGGTGACCTTACAGTGGAAGAAATTAGTGATGAATTATCAAACCAAGGTGTAACTGATGTTGTTAGAATTCAAATAAAAAAGAATGGAAATATAACCAAATCAAATACATATCTTTTGACCTTTAAAACTTTAACTCCTCCCTCATCTATTACTTTAAGTTGCTTCGGAATCAGAGTTAACAGATTCATCCCTAACCCAATTGGATGGTTCACCTGTAAAAAGTTCTGTCATGGAACCAAATAATGTCGTGGTAAGTAGAGATGCTTCAAGTGTTCTGACGAAGGGCACGAGGGAACACCCTGTAGCTCTGAATCCTCTAAATGTGTAAACTGTGGTGAATCCCATTTTTCATCATCTAGGGTCTGCCCTGTTTATCTTAAAGAAAAAATATAATTAAAATTAAAACAGAAAAAAAACATCAGTTACCCAGAGGCTAAACAGATAGCTTCTGTTTCGAATGAACCTCTAGTTTCGAACAAACCATCGTACGCCAGCAAAGTTGGCCGCTCATTCAGTCATACACAAACTCGCACGATATGGCCAATTGATGCTGAAACATTTACAATTTTGCCTGTTCAATTGGAAACTTCCAATAAATTAATTATTGCAAGAAAACCAAACCCTTCTAAAACCAGTACTCTGTCAACTCAATGTCATCACCTTCTAAAAATAAAAAAAAATCAAGTCAGATGCGGTTGTATCAGACAGTTGGGGCACTGGATCGGTCTGGGATCTTCCCGATAATTCATTCGTCTAAAATAGTCACACTACATCTGCGTCTAATAAAGCGTCTACTAGTTCATCTTCTGCTTCTCGTACAAAGTCTACAAAAACTCCTTCTCTTCGTTCTTCAGAACAGAAGGGCGTCTCCAAAACGCCAGCAAATGCGTCCTCTCAGAAGTCTTCTTATGCTACATTTTACAAGATTCAACAATTTTGTTAAGATAATGTAATTGATGATAATGTAATTGATGTTAAGTTAAATCGACCAATTTTTAAGACAATGATATCAGATGAAATATTCAATCGGCCACTTTCTTTATTGATAATTATATTACACTTTCCAAGATTCAACAACTTTTATAGATAATATTATTAGATGGAACCTTAATCGGCCACTTTATTTATAATTGTATTACATTTTACAAGATTTGACCATTTTTAACATAATATATTAGAAGTCACTTTAAATCCACTATTTTTCATACATAATGGTATCAGATGAAATATTCCATCGGCCACTTTCCTTATTTATAATTATATTACACTTTACAAGATTCAACCACTTTTAAACAGATAATTATATTAGATGTAACCTTTAATCGGTCACTTTATTTATAATTTTACTTTATTTTACAATGAATTCAATCAATTTCTATAGATAGGTGTAGAAGATGTAATCTTGAACAAACCACAGCTCTATTTAGAATTTTACATTTTTCAGTAAATTATATCATTTTTGTGATAATTGTATTAGATGTAACCTTCAATCTACCATATTTTAGATGTAACAGCAAAACCTGCCGCTGCTTTATTGATAATTTTATTATTTTACAGTAAATTTGACCACTTTTTGATAATTGTATTAAATTTTCATTAAATCGGTCATTTTTACAGATAATTTTATTAGATGTAACATGAATCGGCCACTTTCTTAATTAATAATTGTATTTCACTATACAAGATTTAACCATTTTTAGATATAATTGTTTCAGATAAAATATTTAATCGGCCACTTTGATAATTATATTTTATTTTACAAAATTCAACCACTTTTTAAAGATAATTGTATTAGATGTAACTTTTAATCGGTCACTTTTTTATTAATTATTTTGCTATATTTTACAATGAATTCAAACAATTTTTATAGATAGTTGTAGTAGATATAACCTTTAACGAACCAAAGCTTTAATGAGAATTGTTCATTTTCGAGTAAATTTTAACACTTGTTTGATAATTATATTAGATGTAACATCAAATCGACCATATGTTATAGATAGATGTATCAAATGAAACAGAAAACCTGCCACTACTTTATTGACAGTTTTATCAAGGGAGGAATGTTCCATCGTGGGCAAGCAGATTTCGAAGAATGGTGGATTTGGAGGAAGCAAATAACGACCAGCAATTGGAAAAGCCAGTTGGCTAAATGTTGGAAGAAAATTAAAGGTCCTCAGCATTCTGTACCTGTTCATACTTTTATTTTGGGATATACTGCAGTATATATTTTTATGACAGATCTGTCGGAGAGAGATTTGGGGGTGGTCCGGCCAACCACTAGTCAAATCATTGAGATATAGGATAAGAGATCCTGACTGACCATACATATGAACAGTTATAGATATTTATTGGAGTTCCAGTTGTTTTGTTGGTGTTATTTGCATGGTTTGAGTTGAGTTAACTTGCCTACGGATGCTGGCCTTCCATGTACACATTTATAAAATGGGACGGGGGATTTTAACTTATTGTATAAACAATACAGGGAATTAATAGCAGTTTTCCTTGTTTTTCAGAATGAGTTTAGTGATTTCAACAAAATGCTGGTTATGTCCAGAAAATTAAGAGAAAAAGAAGGACCTCAAGAGCCATGCCATATCAGAGCATTCAGTGTGCAGAGTAGTGTGTCCATGGTGTGTGGACAATGAAAGGACGTTTGCCAGAATGTCAGAGCTGACCAAACACAGTAAAAGGTAGCACAATGATCTTACCTTAGATTTACTGGAGGTAGACTTTTTTACAGAACCGAATGGGTTTTGGTTGGCCAAGCGACCAGAGGATTACATAAAGATAATTAAGCCATCAGAATAGACCATAATATTTAATTTCCCGGGAGGCGCTCTTAATAAAAATATTATTTCGTTAAGAAGGCAACAACATTCTAACAGGAAACCGATTAGTCGAGTATCATTTTGGTATTCGATACTCGGTACTACCGAGTGATACTCGAGTACTCGTTGACATCCCTAGTCTTTTGGTATTTGATCTTGGTTTTCCTTTGATTAAATAAATGTTCATTTCAGCTTTATTCAGCCAATTGCATCAGGTTCATTTGTTGTGTTTTGCATAGATTTTACATTTCATTAGCTTCGGCTTATCATGGTAAAACTTGAAATAGACATAGGTCCAGGTCTCCAGTAAGACCAACCCCTGAGAGTGAAGGAGGTCGCTGTCAACACCTGACAGTGGAAGGACAAGCACAATCAGAGCAACTGCAGAGGGTCCAGTAGTAAGAGAGCTAGAGAGAAGACAAAGGGTTGTTCCTGACTTTGAGGGGGACGTTAGAACACCACGAAGTAAGTAACATTGATTGATTGATTGTTGGTTGCTTAACGTCCAGTGGCAAATATTTCATGCATATTCAGAACGAAAACAAATTAACAATGATTACAATAGGTAGGTTTTGCAATAGGGACGTCCGGGATTAAGGACGGAGAAATTTAGACTACCACGGGAAATGTAAAGAGATTTAGTACACATGCTAGTCTAATTTGATACAAACACCTCAATTTTGAAATATCATCAGCTATAGAAATTTTCCAAGAAGTAATACGTTATGTTGTAAGTGGTACACCTGGAGTTAAGAATAATTCAGATGACTACATACCAATCTCGTTTTATACAGAATTATGCAACACTATGCGTGCCTTTAAGAAGACGCGTGGTTGCCGTTTGTTGGTGTGGTTCATAAGGGGTTATCCTTTTTGTTTTGTATATAGATTAGACCGTTGAATTTCCTGTTGAATAGTTTCACACTAGTCATTTTATGGTCTTTTTTAGCATGCTGTTCTGTGTGAGCCGAGACTCCGTATCGAAGGCCGTACTTTGCCTTATAACTTTTTATACATTGTGACTAGGATTGAGAGTTTTCTCATTAACAGTCATACAACATATTCTTATTTGCAGTGTTTAATGGTTTGTACATGCCTTACATGCTTGTTCGACCATTTTTTGTTTTTGCATACTGGGTATGTTATATAATATTTTTTTCTTTTGCATTCAAACCACATTTCATTTAATTTTATCTTTTCAATTGTGTGACGCGTCTTCGTACACATACACAACTGTATGTGGTGTTCCATAATTAGGCAATAGAAGAAGACGAAGAAGTTATATATATCTCTGTATTTTCTAGTATGTTTTGTCCAGATATTTAAGATTCATGAAATTATAATAAATTTGATAAAACATTCGTGCACAATGTTCAAAAGAGCAAACATTCTGATTTTGAGTGACGATAAATAATATAGTCAATTATTTAAATCTATAGTATTGTGTTCCTCAAATCAAACATGAGTTGTGTCCATTTGTTCTGTCCCACCAACTGTCGACATAGTAACTGTGGGTCTTTTGTTTGTATGAATTGATATACACATGGTAATTTATGGAAATATTACTGATTGATTCAAATATTTAATATATATAACCTGGTCTATATTACTATTGCGCATTCTCATGACATTCAAAGCAATGTGGTTTCTGATATCTTTTAGAGACGGATAAAAACGTTTGCTGTAACATGGTGGTAGCTGATTCGGAAACAAGTCCTGTTTTAAATGAACTTCCAACAATGTTTTCATTAGTGTAGTGCTCAGGACATTATGATTATTGACCATTTGGAATATGTAGTCCTTTAAATGGCTGTCCATAGGTTAGATTAATAAAGCCGCCTGAAAGGGAAAAATCATGTTAAGTCAAAATAATATGATAAACATTTTCAATGAAATGGAGTTGTTAATTTCTTTACGCATGATGTGTTGAAGTATTTTTTAAAATTGTGTTCACTACGAGAACCCTATTCTGTGGTTCTTTAATAAATTAATGTTTTGCATTCTTCAAGATTTCGTTATAGTTCGGGCTATTTATTCCTTATAATTTTTTAAATAAAAATAATTACATCAGGATCAACGAAATAAAAAATTTGCAAAGACAAAAAAGAAAAAAACAATTTCATGTGATATGGTCTGTGTGCTCATTTTTACTCGGCATACTGATTAGGTACAGGTGTTCTGTATTCAGACTGTCCCCATTATTTAGCAGTTTCTTGATTCTGCGATTTATATCTTCCTTCTCTAATCGGTGTTCAAGGGATGAAGCCTAAAATGTCAGATTAATAAACAGCTGTATAAGGAGGGAACGGGGATAACATTGACTAGTTTAAGTTTACTGAATAGGTTTGTAAACGATAAGTTAATTGTGAGGCGGGCATGTTTCCATAATATTCATAGGTGCGTTTATTGTCATGGACATCGGTCACGGAAGCATTATAAATGTTCGTTATTCCCATCAAATCATAATTGTTAATTATCAGGATCTAAGCATATATGATAATGTTCATTGTCCGTTGACAACGCACCAGAATGGCTAGTGCCTTGATAGTATCAACCTTGCTAGGTCATTGTTTATAGAAAATTGCTAACATATATCTCTGTATTTCATTACTTACCTTGAGGTCGGAAAATGTACCTAACTCTGATTTTTGCCGGACAGTTAATCTTTTTAGTTGGCTGTATTGTTCTTTATTCTTTGTAAATGTGTGATCTCCCTAGTAAAATAAAAGTACCGGTGACTAAACTTTAAAAGTGATTTCTTAAACTGAATAGAAAGTTTTGCATTGACATGTCATATGCTTGCTTTTATGCGAACATTTTAATTAGTGATAGTGCATAACACTACTATCACATATACTCTCTCTCGCTCTCACGGAGCCTTTATTTCCAGACACAGATTTTTCAAAATTTTTACAAAATTATCAGATTTATTTTATATCATACATGTCAAAAAAATATTTTTTGTTTGGTTTTATGATAACAATAATTTAAGATAATATGCAATAATATGATGTTTTCAGTAAAAAAATGAAATGGGACCACAAAACTTCTTCAATAAACATTCCTTTAATAACTAAGGTTATCTGAATTATTTCCCCTTATATGGAAACATCAAAAAAATCTTATCATACGAATACTTTTCTTGATTTTTTTAAATACAGTTTTTCATTCAAAAAAAAACTGTGGAAAATTAAATATGAGTAAGAAAAAATTATCACCTTTGAATCCATTTTATTTCTGGTTTTGTCCTTTTGATGGTGGTCACGTCCATGCTGACAGTCGTAAATCTTTTCCCCAATTATTACGAACGGAACACCATCGGCAGGAATATAAGGCATAGCATTTGTCTGGGTATCTTCAAATCTTATCACACTGTCTATTAATACAGATGATTCTGTCGAAAAAAAACCCAATTGTAATATTTGACAAAGTAAAACACAGAGGTAATCAAACCATGTATTTATAGAAGATGAAAACAATAAAAATGATTTTCAATATTTGGATGGTAGTCTCAGTGAAAAGATTATTAGGTCGAGACACATTTATATATATTTATACGAAATCTGTTCTTCACATATTAAATTTAAAATATGGTTTATTTAAGAAATTTTCCTGAGATTTTTACCGGTGACTTCATTGACGGACACATAAATCAATATTTGGGAAATGGTCTTTTAAATTAACTATCTCATTTTCCCTTCCAAACATCTTTTCCTTTTTCATAGAATTAAATTTTGTTGCGGTTTTAATTTCCTGACTTCTTACAGCCTGCTGTACTTTGTCGATTGACTGGACACATATAACTTCCAGTAAAGTCACAGGGCTGAACAACATATACATAAAGTTAAGGATAACACTATTTCATGAAGTGTGTTAATGGTGTTATATAACTATAAGGAAGACTATCATTCTAACTGAAATTCTTAAAAAGATCTAAAAAGGTAAATATCTGGATAGTATTATGTTATTTTACGTGCATGTAATTTAAGAGTATAATATTGGATGTTATATCCGAGTATTGTTGGATTATAGTATCCACATTGAGTGGGATAACTTCTAAGGGGCGTGGATACCATGATTGTTATGATACTGACAAAATACATGTATTTTTGCAATTAAATGGTCAATTATTTGATGTTATATCCGTGTATTGTTGGTTTATAAATGCAAACATTGAGTGGGATAACTTCTTATGGACATGAACACCAAGATTGTTATGATCTGTATACTGCCAAATCCATGTATTTTTGCAATTAAATGGTCAATTATTGGATGTTATATCCGTGTATTGTTGGTTTATAAATACAAACATTGAGTGGGATAACTTCTTAGGGACTTGGATACCATAATTGTTATGATTTGTATACTGACAAAATACATGTATTTTTGCATTTTAAAGGGTCAATTGTTGGCTGGTATACCCGTGTATTGTTAGTTTTATAGTTACAAACATTGAGTGGGATAACTTCTTAGGGACGTGGATACTCTCAAGAGCCCTACCAAGGGGATAAATAAGTTTTATATAGTAATATAAAAATATTTACAACTTACTTTAAACTGTACAGTTATCCCACCACCCATGGATATTTCGTATACTAAGAGTATTGATCGTTTGACACATTTTTTTAAGTCTATTTACACAGTGTCAATTATTTCCTATATTTGATCTTTTAGGAGATAGGTGTTCCTCAAATGGAGTTCATAACAAAATGTCCATGTTATTTGTTCAATGTCGATATACTAGAGTTGTCTGAGATCACCCCCAATTTAGGTGGGGTTCGTGTTGCTCAGTCTTTGTTTTCTATGTTGTTTCTTGTTTACTAGTATTTGTCTGTTTGTCTTTTTCATTTTTAGCCATGGCGTTTGTCAGTTTATTTTCGATTTATGAGTTTGACTGTTCCTCTGGTATCTTTCGCTCCTATTTTAAGTGAATAATTCTTCTCAGACTTTCGCAAGTCCAGAATAAGCTGCAATAGTAGTCCTTCTTTTATAAGATCTTCGTATTGTTTTTTTTTTTTTTTTTTTCTATATTACACTTTACGGTGGTTTTTTTTTTCTTTCTATGTTACACTTTACGGTGGTAAAGTTTTTTTTCTTACGTCTTCTAATTTATCATAGTAAATTAATGTTCTTTTGTTTCAGGGGAGAAGAATTTAGACCAGATTTCGAGAAATCAGGAGAACTTACATGTATTTTTGGAAATGCTATGCTAAGGATTACCCAAATGATATGAAAATATTCATTGTTAGTGAAATTGTGAAACGATTGGCCTGATTTTGAGGTGTTTTCTCCGAAATTGACTCCCCTACATGGAAGGTCTTTGAAAAGCAGGCGGTGGCAACTTCAATTGATGAGGAGAAGGCATAGATTTCCTAGCCGTATTTGGCACAACTTTTTGTGGATTTTAGGGTTATCAATGCTCTTCAACCTTGTACTTGTTTTGGCTTTCTAACTATTTTGATCTGAGCGTCACTGATGAGTCTTGTGTAGAAGAAACGCGAGTCTGGCGTTAAAAATTATAAGCGTGGTACCTTTGATAACTATTTACACCACTGCTGGTGGACCGTTTCGTCCCCGAGGGTATCACCAGCCCAGTAGTCAGCACTTCGGTGTTGACATGAATATCAATTAAATAGTCATTTTTATGACTATACTATTTGCAAAAATACGAATTATTCTAAATATTAAGGATTTTCTTATCCAAAGCATACATAACCTTAGCCGTATTTGGCACAACTTTATTGGAATTTTGGGTCATCAATGCTCTTCAACCTTGTACTTGTTTTGACTTTCCATCTGTTTTAATCACTGATGAGTTCGGTGTAGACGAAACGCGCGTCTGGCGTAACAGATTATAAGCTTTGTACCTTTGATAACTGACACTTTTGAAGTTTACCAATTATTATTTGCTTACTACCAACGACAAAATTATTTAATATTCACCTGTGTTAATCTCACACCTTCAGTGTATCCGGCACTTTCCAAGCATAATTTTAGATTCAGCCTAATATAAACATAAAGTCGTATTAATAGATGTTCAAACTGTAACGATAATGGTCGGGTTGCGCCACTACATAGGGAGCCGGATGTGGGTTACAGTGTCGGTGTCAAGGCCAATCAGATAACAATACAGTAATTTTGTCATTGGCAGTACGCTAAGTTTAAAGAAGAAAGGTTACAGAAATTTTACCTATATGCAGGTGCACATTTTGTGCCATATCTAAGCATGAGCATGAGAGAGATGCATGCCTTAAATCTGCATGCCATCACATTTATTCAGTATATTAGCAACAACAAAACTGTTTACTTGAGTAATCAATCTACTTGAATACTAGCAACGACAAAATTACTTCTTGGGGGCAAAAATATCTTTTACAACATAGCAGATTGGCAAGGACGATGTTATAGGGATTTGACATTATTCAGACACATTAATTAACACCCAAAGGTAGAGGTAACAGTGTACAGCCTTACACATTGATACGTCCTTTAAAGCTCGAAGTCGGGTCCTTTCAGGGGACAATAGTCCTACCACGAATAGAACGCCACATTATTAATACCATACCAAATATAAGAGTATTCTTCATGGTACCATTTCTATCAAAATACTTATATTTAGATTATTGGAAACCCCATACATGAGTCTTCAGTCATAGTATGTATGAATAATAAAGATCGTGATAAATAGGAGACAGCATTTAATACACTGACAAATTATAGGAATAGATATATTTTTCTATATAAATTTGTTACCCTCAGTTTTAGTTTGTAACACGGAACTATTTTTTCTCGTTCGATTTATGAATTCCGAAGAGCCTTTATTTGACATCTACTGTTTGATCAAACATTAAATTTCTAAACAATTCTTGAGTAATGACTAGAAAAATAATTCACTTTAAAAGATGGAGTGAACACAAATCAATATTGAAAAAAAAACCATTTACTAATGCAAAAGGGAAAACAAGTTCGAAACAAAGGATCTGTTTACCTTACTGATCCATCTTTTTTTGTCATGATTGATCTTTCAATATCATCATTATGGTCTAAGGTGCCAAAAAATTCCGGCATTTATATGTTAGAGTTCTGTAGAAATGTCTTTATGATGCATACATCAGAATCAGATTCTGGAAATTTTCTATTTCTGCTGTACTTCTGAAAGAAATATTATTTTAGATTTCAATAATAACAAAAATCGTCTTCTTTTAAAGCATGTAAGGGAATGTATGTATCTAGTGCAACTACATGTTAATGAAGAAAAAAACCCATTAAAAAATGTTCTATTAATAGTTTTTTCCTTTAGCCTTTTTAAATCAACCTGTCTATTGTTGAAATATTCTGATGACACAACTGAATTGTTAATACCTGCAGTAAGTTTAGTGTGGCATGTTGTTTATCAGTCTTTTGTTCAAGACTATATATCTCAATGAACAATGTACTGGTGAATCTTTCTTTAGCCATCCTTTATCCTTTTCAGATGACAAGGATACACGTTCACAATTGTTACTAGTGCTGTGTGAAAAAATCCACTCGTGCTGATCTACTACATGGTATAGAACACCAATTCATATTACCTTAAATAAGCAAAACGTCACATTAAATATCAAGTATAATGTACAATGTATAAAAAATTGTGAAATATTTTTAATATTATATTAACAAACATCTTTTGTCATTAGTGTGATAATCAGGACCACACACGCTTTAAACAAATAATATATAAATAAGAAAGCTAACCAAGACGCAGAAAGAAAATAGAAATGTAAAATCAGACCCACATGAGATACTATCAAAACACAAATTTAAAAGTCGTTGGAACTCAAAATGAATTAGATATTTAGGCTATTCTGGTTTTTCTAGCATAACAAAAAACGAAAAAAAAATTCATTGTATAAGTCCTTTACGTAATGAGATTTTATTTAATTCTCAATAAAGAAATTAAATTTCTATGGGTGCGAAGTCATACCGGTATCTACGGAAAGACGGTGGTACCATGTCCATAAACAAAATAATTGTTTTACTTATGTAAGTTAATGGTTTACCGGTATTAATTTTTTACAATTGTAAGTGTCGACTATACTCCGCTTACTATTTTATAGATATTCTGATAGTAAACCCACAGACTATCATTAATATGTAACTGTCATACTACAACAACAATACTGGGATTACCAATCCTTGTCGCCGATATCTTAATACCAATCCAATAAATGTAGTATATTGATCATAATTGGTTGTGGATGGAAGAAGATTTGAACTGATATATGTTAGTTGATATTTTTACAAGTGTTAATGTCGACCATCGGCTGCCTTTTATATGAAATTTACTAGGATAGGATTCTCAGATACTATCGTAACTGTAGTGCTACAACAACACTACCGGTATGGGTAATGTCAAAGAATAACTACTGGTATAACCAATCTCTGTCATCGATATCACACCAACATTCAGGTAAATGTAGAAGTGAGCATCATTGGTAGATTGAAATTGACATCATGTGAAGTTCCTCCTTCTTAACCACAAATGTCCCGGTACTTTATACGCTGACAAATTATTGATTCCAACACTGAACTTGACGTCGTCAAACTTTATATGCCTCTCTTTGTTCCACCGAATGAAGGCTGAGCTGTCATTGACACTGAAACATATATTTGAATAGTGTATATACAATTTTATTTCCTCTTATAAAATAAATGTTTAAAAAGTAGTGTACAATATATGTCGCGTGTCTTTTCCTTAAAACCCAATTAAATTTTCCATATCTTAGGCAAAGAGTTTATTTTGTGATTTGCTTTGTTACGCTTTAAATGAAGTAGTGAAGGTAGCTATCATATGTTTTGATACAGGAGGGTATACCATGATAAAGTCTTTAAGCAATTGAAAGAATTCATTAACAAATATATTAATTTTTCCATGGGGCAGGAAATGAATGCTTCCTAATATAGGTAGACCCCCATTTTTTTAATTATATATATAAAAAGTAAACAAAAATACAGCAGTTATGATTTAGATGAGATAAAATGATAAAATGTAAACATTGAATAGCACTTAGTTTTTTTACAGTACTTTTACGTATTGTTGGCATAATGTAGCCGTTTAGTACTCAATACATATTCATAAATAGGAACAAAATTATATCCTTTTAGTAAATTTTTAAGTGTTTAAAATTAGTAACATTTAAATAAAATTTTCCTTTCTAAATTTAATAATTTACAATTTAACATATAATGCTCTACATTTTTAATCTGATTACAGTTTATACAGAGATTTGAAATAACTACTCCAATTTTATATAGATGGTTATCAAGTCCAATATATCTTCCTCCCTTGTTAATTTTGGATTGATTGATTGTTGGTTGCTTAACGTCCAGTGGCAAATATTTCATGCATATTCAGGACGAGAACAAATTAACAATAAATACAATAGGTAGGTTCTGTAATAGAGGCGTCTGGGATTGAGGTCGGAAAAATTTAGATTGCCACGGGAAATGAGGGTATATTGGATAGGGACAGAAATTTAGCCTTGCAACAGGTCACCTACGGACCCCTCAAAGAGTTGTTGCAAGGGTTCTTAACGTGCAAAGAGCGTGGCACTCTCTTTACACGAGGCATCGGATTTAACGTCCCCATTCTGACCGGACGTGGCTGCAAATTTGTACATCCCGCACAGCCAAACGGACGCCCCACTTTGACGAGGGTTTTACCGCCGGTCGGAGGAAGACCAATGGTGACCATACTTCTATTCCCCAGTCACCCTTGGGGACCGTTAATTTTGGAATATTCATTTGAAAATTACCTTTATCAATACTTTTGAATAATTCTCGATCTTTGTTTGTTCCCAGTCTTTTGTGTCATGAATTTTTCGGAAATTTTTTACAGAGTTGTAATGTCCTCTTTAAAGAGAGGTATAACATATTTGCAGTTATCTAAATTTAGTGCTTTTTTGGCGTGTTATCTGCACTTTCGTTGCCCATTTTTCCGACATGACTTGGTATCCATTAAAATTTAATTTATGAACCACTTTTTTTTAAGAGATGTCAAAATTAAATGAATATCTAATAATATTTGATTCTTTACTTTAAAATAGGTGCTCTGATGGCTTGAAGAGCCGACAAAGAATCTACAAAAATTACCGTTTTAATAGGTCTTAAATCTTCTAGCCATAACAGACAAAAATAAATACAATGATTTTTCCACATGACATGGAGGACATGAACATTCTGAATATCTATAAACAAATTCTGAGAAAATTATTTTGAGCTAAAAATATCTAGCTGTTATTGGAAAGGTTTTTTGTTTAACGTTTTTTGAGTAATAATAAGAAATGAATGTATCATTGACCGCTGCTTTAGCAGGATGTGAGTTATCAAAGCTAGCCATATTTAAAAAAAAGCCTTTGCTATTAAACTTTGTGTCTAAAGGTGGATCACCGATTTCAACTTGAAAAGCGTTCAAGGAAGCTGATCTCATTAAACCAGTGCATATACGTAATGCCCGAGTTTGTATTTTATCTAGACATGTTTTGTAGTAAAAGAGGCTGAATTGTTAATTTCACAGCCATAATCAAGTTTTGATCTAATCAAAGATATATAAATAGTTCCAAGGGTATTGCTGGTTGCGCCCTATCAGGTTAGTAATCTCATACAATTCATACTTTTTAAACACTTTGTTTGTGAACTTTGAATATGCGTATGCCAAATTAAGTTCCTGTCAAAAATTAATCATATAAAATAAATTTCTTTACTTCAAATGTGCGATTACCAAGTTTCAAAGATATATTTATATTTTTTCTTCTAGTAAACATCATAGCTACTATCATGTTAATGTAGGTTCTTCAGATGTATTAGTATGTGTAGGTGCATGTGTCTTGTTCAAGATATAGGTCATGCAACGCTTGTACGTTATACATTATTTACTATCATTTGATAGGTAAAGGTCACGACACGATATTTATCTGAGTCGAATCAATAACAAATTTATTTAAGATTAAAGGTGCAACTCAGAAAAATTTAATAGAACTCTAACTTGCCTTTTCGTAGCATTATTCCAAACTTTCAAAACCCCATTGAAATTATTAATCCAAATTCCATAAACAATTAAAAAATATTATTTCCAAATTAAGAATCAATTAGAGAGTTAAAAAAAAAAGAAAAAAAATAATATATGGACAACTCTTCTATGCGATGATCGAAGTTAATCATGTTAATCACACAGGTCAGCTTACTTCTTCAGATCTATAAACGTGTAATTGCTTTCTTCAAATGCCATTTTTCCAGCAATCAATTATGAACATCGATGCGTAATTTATTTCTGAGTGTGCTATTTCTTTCGAAATCAGTTTGATATTATTTTCCCTGGTTCTTGCCTTTCACTCATGTGTTTATAATGCGTCTGTAGTAGTTATCAAAGGTACTATAATTATAATTTAACAGACGCGCGTTTCGTCCACATAAGACTCATCAGTGACGATCAGATC